TTGTCACAGACCTATCACACATTTTCTGAGGTTTCGAATAAAAATGACCCAAAATCCTGGATGTCGAAAAATGGGCTGGACAAATGTGTAAGCTCTTGACATTCAAAGACCAGAAATTCGAAAAATCTTTGAAGCTTGGTAGCTTAAGGATTTTTCCAAACATCGAGAAAATATTCATCGGAGAATCTTCAGTTCCTTTTTAAGTCCATTAAATTGTATTCTGTTTTTTTTCCGGAATTTTAATTCGGAATAAAAAAAAATCCAAGTCCCGACTTAAGAAAAAAAAAAAATCACGACGAAGATCATAAAATGTTTTCAAAGTTTAAGAAGCATTTACATTTTGAAGGACTGTTGATATTCCATATCTGGAGCAACAATAGAAAAGGGCCTGTCGACATTTGTAGAAAAAATGGGTTTTAAGCCATTTGCTCACAAAGCGTAAGCCGCCCACACAAACCTACAGAATCATCAGGTAAGGGAAAGTTTAGTACATACAATCTCGATCGATCTTGAAAAAAAAAACAATATACAACATTCAGGGATAAATTTTAAACATTTTGAACACTTTTTTTTCAATGCTGGGATTAACACACTTTTAAGTCCCAGCATCTTTAAAATTTATCCAAAATCTTTAAAATGCATCCCTGAATATTACATGTTTTTCAATGTTGAGATTTTATGTCTTAGACGCATGTAAAAATCCCGTAGAACCCCGTTAGTGTGAAATGCTAAAATTTCTTTTAAACGGCGCTCATTTAGAATTTGATTACTGGTACCAGTGCTGTAAATTTTCATATCATTCGATTTAAAATGAACCAATACAACCATTCAATAAAATCTGTGTAAACGAATTTTCACATGACCATAATTTGAAGAGCCTCTTTCTCATTCGAAGCTCATTGTCACTGTCAATTGAGTCACTCACTATCATTTGATATACGACAGTGGAGTATGGAAGAAATCCAGCAAAATGGTCCCGAACAGACAAGTCGACTCGATGTCGGATCAATGTAGGACTAATTTAAGGTTGATGTCGACCCAATGTCGTGTTATTGTCGGGTCAATTTTTGGTTTATGTTGGGTCAATGTCGGGTCAACATCTGGTTGGGGTTTGATAGAAGTCAGGTTGGTGTCGGGTTGGCTTAGCTTTTTCGCCGGAATGTCGACCAGAGCTCCGTTTGTGCGTAGGTTTTTTTTTTCCTTTGGTTTGTTTTTTCCGTCGATCTTGTTTTCCGTGCTGAGCACCAATGCTACCGACGTGCCACGAAGGCAGCTCCCACACCTGGACCCTACCTATCGACCCATCAACTCATGAACCGGGGACCAACGGCTTTACTTCTCATCCGAAGGAAGGCGTGATCAGAGATGTTATGCCTCAGAACATCCCGGCGGCGCCGACTGGGATTGAACCCAGGCCTGCTGGGGTGAGAGGTAATCACCACTCAATTGAATGATATATAGCGTTTCTCAAATGAGAATGATCCATGCCTTCGACAAATGACTAAGCAACTGATATCACCCATTCGGAGGAGGTCCCCTTTGATAGCGAATATCTGCTTTTCTCATTTTCATCAAAAATGATCAAATGATTTTGAGAATTTACAGCACTGACTGGTACCCCTAAAAAGGTGCCCAATAGTGATATGTACCTGTGTTGGGGCACCGTCAATCACATTCTATATGAGTGTCGTTTAATGAGAATTTTAGCAATTCAAACTAACGGGGAGCGGAGCCGATATTCATCGTTTGGGTTACAAAATTACTTAAAACTAACGTTAGTAAAGCGGGGGCCGATTACTCGCGGCTATCTCGAGGTTAGGGGTAACAAATTGTAACAAACGGGTGGCAGGGTAGGGATTGAAAACAAAAGGTTTTTTAGAGCAATGTGCTCTTGATCTAGAACTAAGCGACATACTGGAGAAAAAGACAAATATGGGGGTACACCGATGCAGACCTAGCAACTTGAGAGAACACAAGATGACGCTAACTACTAAATCCTTAGATCGATCCGTTTTAAAAACACATAAATTAAATTAAAATATTCGAGATCTAGGCTCGCCAAGATGTCTCTAACGGGCGTATAGGTTGTTTTCCTCGGGCCCTGAGGGATGTGGATAACTCGGATCTAGCAACACAATGTAGGGTGCATGACCAAAGCACGTGGTCGATATCGTGATAGCCACTACCACAAGCGCACAAATTGCTGCCTGCGAGCCCGATTCGGAAGAAATGCGAGTCTAACGAGTAGTGGTTAGACATGAGCCTTGACATGACACGTATAAAGTCACGGCTCATGTCCAATCCTTTGAACCATGGCTTGTTCGATACCTGTGGGAGAATAGAATGTAACCATCTTCCCAGATCACTCTCATTCCATTTTTGTAGCCAGTTGGTGAGGACGTGCTGTCGGATAATTGAAAAAAATTCCGCAAAGGCGATTTGTCGATCAAAAATATCGGCTTCCATAGCGCCCACCTTAGCTAGCGAGTCCGCTTTCTCATTACCCGGAATTGAGCAATGAGATGGGACCCAAACTAAGGTGATAGTATAGGAGCAGTTAGATAAAGTACTCAATTTAGCTCGGATTTCGGTCAGGAAATACGAGGAGTGCTTCATCGGCCTCATTGATCGAATAGCCTCCAACGAACTAAGGCTATCTGTAAAAATAAAATAGTGATCAGATGGTAGTGAGGCAATTTGCTCTACTGCGTAAAATATGGCTGCTAGTTTCGCAACGTATACGGAACAGGGTTTTTGCAGTTGATATGAGGCGCTATGAAATTCGTTGAATACTCCAAATCCAGTGGAAGCGTTTATAGTTGACTCATCTGTGAAAAAAACTCTTATTGTTACTAACATGGTGGTACTTGTTTGCAAAAATTAAGGGAACAACCATCGACCGATGGTGATCTGGTATTCCACGGATTTCTTGCAACATGGTCAGATCAAAATTTACAGAGGAACTATAAAAGTCTTGGAGGCAAACACGAGAGGAATTGAATGAAGAAGGGCCAATCTCCAGCGTCATGTACTCGTAATAGAGACTCATGAATCTTGTTTGTGGATTTCTGTCGAGCAGCTTCTCAAAGTTTTCTATTACCAATGGGTTCATTACTTCACAACGGATAAGAAACCGGAAGGACAGTTCCGCGAAACGATCTGTCAGTGGGAGAACACCCGCGAGTACTTCGAGGCTCATCGTATGCGTCGAGTGCATACAGCCAAGCGCGAAATTTTTTTTTCTAGAATGTGATCTAGAAAAGTTGTCTTGGTCTCAGAGTTGTATTTTTTTATATTTGAGGTGTTACAGAAGTTAATATATCCTAGATCTTTAGCTGTCTTATAATTGTCAAAATTTGTCCAAGTCCGAGGACCTAGACTTTAAACGATTTCCTCTGTGCCTAAATTTTTCGTTGTAACCATCAATTCGCGATCTACATATAAAATAAACTTAGTAAATTGTTTGTTTAAAAAAATAGATGGAGTAAGTGTGCCAGTTTTGGCACTAGTGCTCCATTTATTGACCTAAATCAAATTTGAAGTATATGCTTATGGTTTCATTTCTGTAAATATATGGCAAAATATATGTCCCAAATTTGTATCGAAATACATTTTGTAAAGAATGAAAAATATGTGAAATACAAACTAGAGTCAATTAGAGGATAACTTGGGCCAAAAACTGGCACACTTACCCTAGATAAAAAAAAGTTCAGAGTGAGGAAATAGAGGTGCTCATGATGGGTTTGTGAGTTTATAAAATTTCTCGGCGTGGCAATCGTAATCTACAAAAAATTGGAATCATGTTTATACGATCAATAAATGTAACTATTGGCAACTTTTTCATTGTTCGGTAACTATTTTCGTTATTTTAGTCAGTAAAGTCACTAATATTGTATCAGAATCCCACTACCAGCTCTGTGATATGTATGCGCGGTAGGAAAAATCAGCAACTTGAAACAAAAAGAAAATAAAACTGAAAACCTAACATAACATTTTTTTCATAAATATTTTTAAATATTTTTTGTTTGAAGCTCGTTTAATTTTTTTTTTCAGAAATTTTCTGATTAGATGCTTTAAAATCATAAAAAATCAAATATTGTGAAACTTTTGTTATTTTCGTACGCAACACGGTTTTAAAAACTGTATAGAAATATAAAATTTTTTGCCGATAATAACCGTTTCAAACTGTTACTATATGTTGTAGTTCTAATTTTTGTTTTTGTAATTTTTTAAGCGGCCAGGGAAAGTTAGCATTTTTAATAAGATTTTAAATAAAAATTCTTTAAAAAATATTACCAATAAGTATGTTTTTGTGGTTTTCTCTACGTAAAACAGATAAATATGTGGCATCTAATGACAACCAAAATCCAACCTAAACACGTTTACCCACTTCTAAAGCTGAACATTTTAATACTGACTTAATAATCATAAAATTGCTGTAAATCACAACCAAAACAATAAATCTTCCATTTTTAATAAAAGCTATTCAATCAAATCCCATTCGCTTCTACATTTCAAGCCATCATTGCATTTCACCTAGAACCCTTTACTCATTATCATTCACATTGCTTCTCACAGAAACTCCAACAACCTATGCCACATTTGCGTCATTCGTCGGAATGTCCTCCGGAATCGCACCGCTACCAGTCCCCTAGTGTGTGCGTCTTCCAGATTTTGTGTTCATCAACACCACAGACACCGCAAATTCCATAGCTTTTTGTCAACAACACCCATTTGATTAAACATCACTTAGTGCAATTTTTTGAATAAACCATCTCTTCAAAGATCTAATTCTCATCCATGCTTCTTACAACTCGCCCCCCTCGCCCGCGCAAATCCTGCCACCGTGATGTGTGTGTGTACGCAATCGCAATCACCGTGTAACTTCTTGTCCCGTCTCTGTAATCCGCCGCGGCGTTCCGCGTGCCTTTGCCTGTTTGTATGTGTACGCGCCTGCCACATATGCAATACACACTACTATCCCCTTTTCGCCGGAGCAGATTCCGGAACGAACGAGCACGGCATTGCGCATCGGCGCGGCTTCGCGACCCACCAGGCCATCCTGGCCATTCCCGAGCTGCGTTCCGGGCTCGACTCGCCACCGGGCAGCAGCGGCAGTGGTGCCAACGCTGGCAGCAGTGGCGGCGGTACCCACCACCGCCCACCGTTTCAAGGTTTCTAACCACTAATTAGATTAAAGATTAAGAAAAAATCGAATTGTATTTTCCAATTATTTTTTCTTAAGTTCTGGTTTTGTTTGAGTTTCGTTTTATTTTTCTTTATTTTGTGTTTTGCTCGCTCGTTTTTCCTTTCCGTATTTGCGTTTGTGTGAGATAACATTTTTTTTTAGTTGGGTAGTTTTCGGGTTTCATTTGTGTGAGTTTGACTTTTGCGTGTAATTTCATTTAGTTTCATTAACCTTCGGCATTTCTTTTTTTCTTTTGCGAACGTTGAGAGAAATCAAATTTTAAAGAAAAACAACGACGTGTTAATACCGTTCTCTTTTTACGATCGCTTTGTGTACAAATTGTATGTAGTTGTAGAGTAGAGTTAGTGGAATGTGACCAAAAACCAAATTCTTCTTGTCTTTTATGTGTTATTTCCCTTGCACTGGGCGCTCGTGTCTCCATACATTTCATTTTAGTCATCCTTCAGTTATGGCATTTCTTTTTTCCGTTTGCTCTCTTCCATATTTTTCAGCCTTCTCGTTGATTTCAATGGTGCCACTTGTATTTTTTTTCTCTCTTCAACCCTACACCTATTTTCAATATAAATTAAGTCGATTTGTTCATCTTTTCCGTGTAATTTAGTTCAAGTAGACGGCTGAACTGAAGGATTTGAAACATTCACCTAAACAGCATGCGAGCGCACAATGTAACAATTTAAACTGTTCTGAGTGACACGTGTCAAAAATAATATGTGTCATTGGCACATAGCTCAGCACATAACGAGTAGCTAGTTGGTAGAAAAATAACAGACGATCTAGTTTCAGTTTTCCTCGCTCATTCTTTGTCATGGCAATTTGCATCATTTTCGCATTTTTTTTTTTGCATCTCCAGCATAAACCGGGTGCAGTTGAAACATTGTTCACTTACTGCGTGCATACATACTCTATAGGTACTTTGGTTTTTCGTTTATGGAAAGAGCGAGATCTTGTCGTCCCAAAAGTAGCCATGCCGGCGTTCGTTGTTAATGTGATAAACTACAATTTACATTCACATCTGTTTTGGGCTTTCGGTTGCACTGCACTCACTGATGCACTGTTGCTGTGCAGTTGGCGATCCGTGGGTTAAGATTTCGTAGGGACATGCGATGCGATAGGTATGCGGAAAAATGCCATATGAGAACGGATGAATGGGTCGCAGCATGAGACAAAGACTGTGTGCGACGAAAACACCTGCAGAATGGTTGCATTTTGCAAGAACTCGTTGCCGGAGTACAGTTGAATCTCAGCAGGTGTTTATTCGTGACTCGATCTCGCAATTGGGTAGAAAATCTGATCGTTAATCATCCCATAAAACTAGGTAAAAGCAATGAGTTGACGCAGTTGACTTTGGTAAGATTAACTAGGATTGAGTCACGTTGAGCTTGATTAGTTTATACCCGCTAAGTCGTCTCTCGAGAGACGGGATTTGGATGGAAATTTCAATCGGCATGTTTCAAATGGTCTGTGGGAACACAAATCTCAAATCCAGAATTTTTTTAAATTTAAAGCTCTTACCAGTATTATCCTCGGATTAAATCCCGATCAAGAATGTCCGGTTGCTTTGATGTCGACATCAGATTTAATCAACATGACTCTAAGCAAACATTTAACAGATTATCCGAACAGGGACGGGATTAAAAGTTAATCCGAGTTGGAGCTTACTGTCATTAGAATCTAGAAACATTATCTTTGTCAACTGAAATGGGATGCTCTGATGCCATAGAACACGATTGGATACCGTCTTCCTTCACCCTTATTCCCCTCTATTGGATTATTCCCTCCAATTAATTTTCTTTACATATGTTATCTACCGATTGGGCAAAAACAAATGACTAAATATAGCTTTTTTTTAGATTTTGTAAACGCACATCCAATATTTTGCATAAGCAAACGGGGCGTTTCTGTGGTGAGAAAAAAGTGATTTCCCTATCACAGATTACATATATAACTACCTAACACTGAAAAAACGGACGGTACCGCTGTTTATGCTTTTAGATTAGCATTATAAGTCCCTCCTTTTTTGCAAATTCGGAACAAAACATACTTTGTAAGTCCCGCCCCCATCAGGCTTTCCTATCGATTTTATGAATGGGCGGGGCTTAGAAAGTATGTTTTGTTCCGAGTATGCAAAAAAGAAGGACTTACAATGCTAATCTAAAAGCATAAATAGAGGTACCGTTAACGTTAACGGCCTCCCTTAGCTCAGTCGGTAAAGGCACAGCTACAAAGCAAGACCATGCTGGAGGTGGCTGGGTTCGATTCCCGGTCCGGTCTAGGAATTTTTCGTGTTGGAAAATATCTCGACTTCCCTGGGCATTGAGTATGATTGTACTTGCCACACAATTATACGAATGCAAAAATGGTACAGGCATCGAAAGCTCTCAATTAATAACTGCGGAAGTGCATCCAGAACACTAAGTTGAGAGCACGCAATAAGCTAATATGCGATACGCAATAAGCTTGAAATGCGAGGAAGAAGAAGAAGAAGTTAACGCTATGCTTTTTTTTAGATTTCGTGCGTTTTGAGAATGAAAGATAAGAAAATTGAGCATTTCTGTGTGGGAAAAAAGTGATTTCTCTTACATATTACAGATATCAGTGCCTAGCACTGAATAAACCAAATTTGGAGATATCAGTGCTGGGCACTGATATCTGTAATATGTGAGAGAGAAATCACTTTTTTCCCATACAGAAATGCTCAGTTTTCTTATCTTCCGTTCTTAAAACGCACGAAATCTAAAAAAAGCAATATTAAGTTATTTTTTACAAAATTGTTCACCCTATTTTTGTGCTTTTTTCTAGCGTTTATTCAACATTTAACATTCATTAAGTATCTCCCACAACTACCTATCACGAGACAACGGAAGTTGATTTTTTTACTAAAGGTTTTACCGGCTGGAGCGGGCACCAAACCTCAATTCTTGGTAATTACACCACCCGTAATAGGTATAGAATCACGTGGAAGAGTAGTGCAACACTTATAATGAATATTGCTTCAACCCTTATAAAGTTTAGCATCACCTAAAACGCTAACATTTGCTGAAAACGTGCTTCGGATGGTTTGAATTTGTGTTTTTGGAACGTGTAGGAGTTGTTTATTTTATCACTTCATAAAAGTTTTGAATCAATTCAAAAACTGCTGAAACAGTTATGGATAGTTTGGAATCACTTTGTAAAGTACTAATTCACTTTGGAAAGTGCTCAATCACTTCAGAAAAGCTTGGAATCACTTTGGAAAGTACTGAATCACTTCAAAGATTTTTGGAATTACTCCTGGAAGTACTGAGACGTTAAGAATCTCTTCAGAAAAGTTCGGCCATGACTTCGGACAGTACGAAATTATTTCAAAAAAGTTCGACATTATTTCAGAGAGTCTTTCTAATTAAGACATAATAAATAAATAAATACTGGAAAGACTCTCAATTAAGACAAAATAAGTAAATAAATACTTCGGAAAGTACTGAATCACTTGAGAAAAGTTTGTAATTACTTCGGAAAGCACTAAACCACTTTAGAAAACTTCGGAATCACTTTGGATAGTACTAAATCAGTTTAAAAAGTACTAAATCGCTTTGAAAAGTACTAAAATACTAGAAAAGTGTCGGATCGCTTTGGGAAGTACTGACAAGTTTGGAATTACTTTAGATCAGCAGGAAAATACTGAATCACTTTTAAAAGTACTAAATCACTTCAGAAACGTTCGGACCGACTTCGGAAAGTCTCCGACTGAAAAGCTCTCCAATTAGAACAACAACAAAATACTTCAAAAAGTACTGAAGTACCTCAGAAACGATTGGAGAAAAGTTGGAAACACTTCGGAAAGTAGTGAATCACTTTAAAAAAGTTCGACATCACTTTGGCTAGTACAAAACCACTTTGAAAAGTATTAAATTACTTTAGAAAAGTTCGGTATCACTTTGGAAAGCACCGAATAACTCCAGAAATTTTAAGAATCACTCAGTACTTCCCCAGAGAAGTTTGGAAGCACTTCAAACAAGTTCTTCATCACTTCGTACAGTATTAAATAACTTCAGAAAGTTCGACAGCACTTCGGAAAGTACTCAATCTCTTTCAAAAGAAATAAACAACTTCAGAAAAGTTCGGCATCACTTGGGAAAGTATTAAATAACTTCAAAAAGTTCGGCATTATTTCGGAAAGTTTCCGGGTAAACGTCTCTGTAATTCAGACAAAATAAATAAATACTTCGGAAAGTACTTAATCTCTTGTGAGATTTTTGGAATCGCTTCAGAAAGTAGTGAGAAGAATTATTTCAGAATTTATCGGTATCACTTCTGAAAGTACTTTATCACTTCAAAAAAAATCGCAATTTCTTCGGAGAGACTCTCTAATTAGAAAAAAAAATTAAAAAATACTTCGGAAAATACTGAATCACTTCCGAAAAGTTCGGAATCACTTCTGAGAGTACTAATTCACTTTGAAAGAGTTCGGCATCACTTTGGATCAGAGCTGGTAAATATCACGGCCGTCATGTGACAATGATAAAACAGGTCCTCTCACTATCACGAGACGAAACGACCGATCATTAGCTTTCTTGTCATCAGGATGGAAAACCACTTACATTCATTTCGTGCATTCATTTACATTCATTTGCCTCTAACTTTTTTCATCAACAGAATTCCGTAAAATAGGCTTTGATATTAGCTAAATCTTTTGTGAACAACTCAAATCTGTATCTCTTATGATGAATCAGAGCGATAAGAACCCACCATTGTTTTTCAGTGAATGTAAATTGCATTCACTGAAAAACAATTACATGTTCTGCCAGCTCTATTTCATCATGCAAAAGAGATTCAGATTTTAGTTACTAACAAAAGTTGTACTTTTAGTTACTAACAAAAGCTACAAAAGCTTCATACATCATTTAACGATATTCTGTTGATGAAAAAAGATAGAGGCAAATGAATGTAAATGAATGCACGAAATGAATGTAAATGATTTTCCATCCC